AGAACATAGTGGCAGGGTGATATGGCCCTGGTCTCATTGCTAACCAAGTGAAGTTTGGACCCAGGTCTCCGGAGTTCAATTGCCCCACCACTGGCTACTGCCCTACAAAGACTTATGGGAGGTGAAGAAGATACTATGTGACCCTGGAAAAGTTATTGTGACCTCTCTGTATCTGTTTCCTTGTCTATGAGGTGGAGATAATGAAAAGTTCTCACTTCGTATGGTTATTGTGAAGAATAAGTGAGCTAATAACTGGTAGTACTTAGAAGAGTGTCTGGCACACAGTAAATGCTGGCTCTTGTTATCATCTTGGAACTCAGTCCCGGAAAATGGTGGGGGGAAGTGGTGAAGAAAAAGAGGCAGAAATTAGGCTTCATGTTAGGTTTGGTGGCTCTGTGGTCTTTAGTTTTTTATTTGTTTTTATAGTTTCTCTACTTTTGACTGGCTATGTGATCTTAAAGGTGTGACTGAGGCGGAGATCTGAGCACTGCCACCAGACACACTCCACCTCTTGCTGTTCCCTCTGCCTGGAATGTTCTTTCTTCAGATAGCCTCATGCACTTATGCCCCACCTCATTTAAGCCTAGACTCAAAAGTCACCTTCCCCTGGAGGTCTTCCCTAGCCACCCCCTGCCTCCCCAAACTTCCTATCCCTTTTGCCTACTTTATTTCTTTTCCTGGAACTTAGTAAAACATATTGTACATTTATCTCTAGAATGTAACCTCCAAGGAAGGGAGAGATGTTTGTCTGCTTTGTTCACTGCTATCCCCAGTGCTTAGAACAGTACCTGGTACATAATGGGAGATTTAAAAACAAACATTGGTGAATGCATGAACCTGCCTTCTTCAAAGTCTGCCTGGAGTCTGTCCACCTTCAGGAAGGAAGACATCCTCAATGCTGGACTGAGATGACCAGGAGTTGGGATGATGAGTGTGACTTGATCACTTCTGGGGCACTCACACTTTGCCTGATATACTTCCAGGGCTTTACATGTAACGATTTCCTCCAAATGACCACCCGAAGTCAGTATTTATATGACCCCAATTTTACAGATGAGGAAACTGACGCTTACAAAGGGATTGGATACACCTTGCTTAAGGTCACACAGCTTGTGAGCAGCAGAGTCAAAATTCAAATCCAGGCCTGTTCAAACCCAGATGCTGAGTCTTTCCCTCTGCTATACTGCCGGATCCTGCCCTAACGGGGCCTATGGCCTGCCAGTGGGTTGCAGAAATCACCACTCAAGGTCTCACGTGCTAAGTGCTAACTGTGTCATGTCTGACTCCGCCCTTTCCCTCACTCCCCACATCTAGCAGTCACTAAGTCTGGATGAATCTGCAGCCAAGCTTGGGAATGGTTCTGGAAGCCTTCTCTTCAACCTGCCTCTGGCCCCCAGACTAGCTCAGGGCCTTGTAAACACTTGCATGGTCCAAGGCCATGGCCTCTCAGCTATTCCCCTGCCCCCTAGGCTTACCTTTTACCATCTAGCCTTCTACTCACTAAGGGTCAACATCCCCAATGCAGCTCAGGTGGTATCACTTCTAAGCTCAGAACCCTTCACTGCTCCCCACTCACTCCAGGATGAAGTTCAAATTCCTCAGCCAGGCATTCAAGGGTCTAGTTCCAATCTTCCTTTCTAATCTTGCCTTGTGTTTGTCTCCCTTCAAGCACCCAGTGTGCTCTCCAACCTCAACACATCCCTCACCTCCATGCCTTTCCCTATGCTGGTCCTCCTGCCAGAAATGCAACTTTCCCCAACCTCTTCCCCAAAGCAGTCCGAAGTGTTAAGATTGAACTTGAAATGCCAGCTCCCTCTTGGCCCTCCCTAACCCACAGGACAAGGACAATCTCTCCTTTGCCTGGCTCATCAACATTTTGTACCTCTATGGCCAGCACCCAGCAGCTGATTTTAGTTCATTCCCTAGGCTAGGACTCCCTGAGTCACTGTCTAAGCACACTGGTCTTCTGAAATGGATTGTGCAGGTGCTAAGTTATACAAAAATTGAGGAGAAATGTGTGCACAGAGAAGCCCACAGAAAGCTTCAGAAGGGCAGCCGAGGGCAGCGTAGAAGAGCACAGGATCTGGAACCTGACTGCCAGCTTTACCTCTTACTAGCTAAGTGGCTTTGGGCAAATTACTTCTCTGGGCCTCAGCTGTCTCATCTGAAAAAGAGAGGTAATTAGAATACATACTTCCATGGGGCATAATGAAAACTAAATGGGTAATTATATGTAAAAACACTGAGAACAATGACTGATACACAGTAAATGCTAAATAAGTGTTTACTGCTATTGTTATTAGCCAAGCCCTGACAAGGGGCTCAGCGCTGGCAGAGGGCTGACAGTTGCTGGCATAGGCATAGTCTCCAAACTGTAGTTACTTTCCAGGTACAGTTCCCATGTGCTACTTGCTTACAGTCCTGTTGGAAGATAGGCAGGGCAGGCAATTAGCCCCATTTTACTGATAAGGAACTGAGGCTCACTCAAGGAAAGTGCCAGTGAGGAAGCAGCAGGGCCAGAACCCCTCAGTTTCTAGTCTAGGCCTCCTTCCCCTCCACCAGGCCGTCATGCACTTGTTATGCAGGCCTCTCACAGCAGCCAGCAACCCTCCCATGCAGGAGGCCCCAGCCATAGTGCGTTTCCTGCTCCCCATGCATATCCACCCTCCCAGCCAGGATAGGCACAATATACAGTGGTGTGCACACTTGGAACACACCATCCACCCTCTACACATCACACACAACTACAGAAGGGCCTAGGCCCCAAAGGTGAGGAAAACCTCTTCTGAGGAATGTGCCTAGTGAGCAAATTCTGTTCCCAGACCCTTCCACAGTCCCAGGAGCAGCCCAGTGTGCGTCACAGAAGAGATGGAAAAGCAGAGATACCCACAAGGGGGGCAGAGAGAGGGTGAAGCAGGAGGAGGAGGCTGAAAACTTCGTGTTTCTTTTTTCCATTTCAGTAACAAGAGTCACACCCGGCCTTTACGTAAACATGACCAGAGAGCCACTCTGTCCAAGCTTGGTTAGTTTCCTTGCAGCCGCCAGGCCTCTCCTCCCGGTGACCCTGACACGCTGGGCAGGCCGGTGAGGGGCAAGAACACAGACCCCGCACAACGACTAGCTGAGCCACCCTGAGGACACCCAAGCTTTCCGCCTGCTGCCCTTGCTCAGCCCCATATTTATCTCCCTGCCTTCTTCCTAACATAGCCCTACAGCAGCCCCACACGGCCACTTAAACACACAGAAGGCAGGCACGCACACACAGCTTGCGGCTGATCTCTCGAGGATGAGGCCCACATGCCCTTGTCACGCTACCTCCCTCCCCACAAATGTTTTCTGACCAGCTCGCCTCCCAGCCCAACAGCACAGACAGGCTCCCACAAACAACAGGCTCCCCACAAACAACGTCACAAAAGAATCCCTTAGAGAATGTTGCACACATAGAACCTTCCCCTTGCTCGGCTGCCCACGATCCCATAAAAACAACCTGCACATTCCACCCAGAGCTCCTCACACCAGTGCCAGTTGCCCCACAAGTACCTGAGACACATCCTAGGGTTTCTCACTTCCCACATGATAGGCGGGACCTGATTGTAGACCTGTGCCCCCAGACCCATGCAAATTACTCATCATACAGACACGTACCCATCCAGCAGGCCATCCTCACCAAGACTAGACCACAACTCAGCAGGGCCACAGAAATGAGACCTAAGTGTGACACCTTCCAACTCAAAGGTACACAACCGCCCCCTCCAAATAGGCACATGCACCCTGCACTCTGGTGCAGTCCACAGCACTTACACCATGCCAGCTATGCAGAAAACAACAGTTCATATGTGCAGCATAAGACATACGTGCAAGAAAATACATGCTGGTATAAAACCCCACATCTAACAAACTCTGCATGTATTGTACCTTGCTTCAGATACAGACCTGTCACCCAAAACCACACTGCCACATCTTGTAATTCTGCCCCACAATATTGGACACCCCACCATCTGGCTTTCTGTCCCCATGGCCCAGGGAAGGCCCTGTCCAGACCCCTGGCTGACAGACGAGCAAACAGTGGTGCCAGGAGAGGTTTACCTTGCCCCACAACACAGCAGGAGACAGACAATCTCCAGGACTCACAGCCACAACCCTGCTCGGACAGCGCAGCGGCTCTGGGGCCCCTGCTAGCCCTGCGCACCCCACACACCCTAACTCTGGGGCACACAGCGGCCCACCCCTCCCCCTCTCTGCCTGGCTCCTACGCCATCGCCCTCCCAGCAGCTTGCAGCGCCCGCCTGGGCTCACACCCGCCCCACCCCACCCCACCCCCAACCTGCCCCACATGGGGGGGGTACATTCGGTTGCAGAATTAACCCTTCAAATGCGCAGTGCGGCCCCTTCCCCGGCCCTCCGCGATCGCTCCCCCTCTAGCCGCCGCTGGGTGGGACGCCGTGCCAGGGCCCCCCTTAGTCGCCCCCCAGCGCCGTGCGCGCCTGGGGGCGGGGCTAGGCTCAGCCCCCGACCCCTTAGCCCCTAGGTCAGCTCCCAAGGGGAGCGGTAGGTCATGGGGCGCCGGGCGCGGCTCGGGCCCCCGCGGCGCCGGGCAGCGGGAGGGGGCCCGGCTGTTGGCTCCGGTCCGCCCTGGCCCTGCCCGGTTCGCCCGGGGCCCACCTGACTGCGATGGCGCCGCGTCCGCCAGGCCCGGCTCATCACCGTGGCCACCCCCGGCAGCTCCGGTTTCACCCGACTTCAGCTCCGGCTCCGGCTCCGGCTCC